TCTTGGTTCATGGCTGCAGAGGTTTCCAAACACTGGATGGCTGAGCATTGTGAACTGAACCTCAGAGAACTAATTGCTTAGGTCTGGGTAGCCCTTCTTGAGCATGGAACCCTGGGCTTTCTGCTCAAAGCATTAATATTTCACTTTTACAACTCATCCCGCAAAGGGTGAGATCTTGCCAATTTCTAAGATAACCATAAGCCATTTTGCATATTGTCCTAATGCAAAATACTTGGCTCCTTTTTAATGCCAATTTTTAGCAATCATGCTCTCCTGTGTTCCAACTTTGCAGGTGCATCCTTTCTGGAAAAACTGAAAAAAAAATTAAATAGACCTTTTTGTTCCTGGTTTTTAGTATAAGGCTGGCTAAACGTTGGAAACAGTATCCATGCCACTGTCTGAACATTGGGGTGCCTTCATCTCTGATCTACCAGATTATTTAGTCCACCCTTAATCTCAGTCTTTCATAAAGTTTGAAAGCATAAGCAAAATGAAGACACATTTTCTGCCAGGGCATAACACATGCCTGAGTCCAAATACCAATGAGTCCTTGCTCCCACCTGGAACCCCCTGAGCCCAGTCCTTACTATTTTCATTTCTGTGGGCATTTTGGTCTTCTGAGTTCGGAACAGAATCTCCGATCGAATGCAGCATTCAGCACTTCTTGGGCTTATTGGCTAGCATATAATAATCTCCTCAATTCCTCTTGCGAATGAATTCCAAAGCTTCTAAACTACGTGATCAGGTACAGTTACAGCAGTGACCACACCCCTGGCGTGAAAGCCTGTCTTAGGCACTTTCCTCATCACTGGGACAAAATATCCGACACCTACATCCTAAAGGAAGAGAGGCTTATTCGAGCTTACGTTTTTAGAGGTTTCAGTTCGCAGTAGGCTGGCTGCAAGGTGGAAGCAGCACAGTAGGCAGGATCCCCATGGAGAAGGGTGCCTGACACCCTGAAGGCAGGAAGCAAGGGGAGAAAGCAGGAGCAGGCAGGACCGACGCTCTCGCAGTCACATTCCTAGTGACCTGCCTCTGTCAACCAACCACAGCACGGACTGTAGTCAGTGTTTACTTCTGGATTAAGGCCTTTAGTGATTGTCCTCTTTCCTAAGAGTCTAGCTGCCCTGTTGTGGCTACGTCCTGAATCAACTCAACTCAAGGACCTTTACCTTTACCTTTCATGATCATGTTTTCCTTGAGGAAGTCACACACGGTGCCCAATCTGGTGAATAAGATGGGTGAGGAGAGAGCCTCGCGTTTTTATGAATCTGCCTTTCTATTGGCTGGCACTTGACAGCAGCATTCACCATGTTTTGATAACATCTTTTAATTTTAAAGACATTAATGACGTGATTTCCAGATCTTTTTCAGAAGGTGGCAAGGATAGAGTAAGTGTGTTCAAAGCAAGGGGCAGTGTTTTGATGGGACTCATGAAAATATCTCCTTTGTCATAATAAAAGGTGTTGCTTCAGGGCCGAGCTGTCCACAAGAAGCGCAGAGCTGAGGACCATGTCCCACTCCAGAGGGAACTGAGCTTCGTTCTGGTGTCTGGAGTCAGAAGCCACAGGGACCTTAGGAGACAGTGTTCTGAGCACACTTATGGTTGAGTATGTCATAGTGGACTTCTTTAGCAGAGGCAGGAACAAAGCTTTCAGTGACGTGTCAGCCATGGAAGATGACAAATGAGCACTAGAGCGGGCGAAGCAAAGCACCAAGACTCAGCCTTGGCCCTGTGCAGTAGGTGACAGGTGCTTGGTGCATCGTAATAGAATGGACAAGTGATGGCATGAGGTGGCGGAAGACGGAGCGTTGCTCTGTGGCGCATGGAAAGCACTTGCTGGGGGATCTCCAGAAGCAACTAGGGTCGCTCTGGAGAAACGTCTGTGGTGTTTTTTTGTTCTTGACTTTCTGAGACAGGATTTCGCTCTGTGGCTCAGGCTGGCCTTGAACTCACTTTGTAGCTGGCCTCAAACTCTCAAGGACCCTTCCGCCTCAGCCCCCCTAGTTCTGGGACAACAGACATATACCTCCACACCCCGTTTCCTCACCACTTTCTCGGACCTGATTTATCATACAACTTTATGTTTGCATTTAACATTTTATTTCTAATTGAGGTCTTGAGGAGGGAGGTGAGGCGGCAGGGCAAGTAGCCTCTGTTTGACTTTTAAGGTCAGGCAGTCAATTTGGCAGCTGAGCTTATATAACCTTTAACTTCTCCTAATTAGAAAATGTTCAAAGTACCTGGCTCTCCACAGGATGCCAATTTGCTAGAGAGGCCTCTGGCAGCCTCCGTGGGAGAAGTCAGTGTGAAGCCTTAGCCAGCGAAATTACCAAAGGCTGCAGGTGAGGGAGGAGGGAGCCCCCTCCACGGCTTCCGCACGGGCCTGGGCTTTCACGGCTCCTTCCACGGATCTGAAATAACATACTCCCCACCCTGTCCCTCACTCCCCCGCGAATGGACCAGGCTTTCAGAAACTGGCAGAAGCAAGCCAGTCACAGAGGGGACAGCTAACTGTGTCACCCACCCCCATCAGAAGACAACACTTCTTCCCACCCACTTCCACACAAAGGTTTTAAATATAGCTTAACGTTAAGCTATATTAGAATCTAATAAAGGCAAGTTAAAAAGAACATCCCATTAAATGAGTTGTGATAAACCAAATACCTTTTTAACAAGAAAATGGAAAGCAGAGGAACATTATGTATCACTTTTTAAAAACTTAGGTGCCCTGTCTAATATAAAATTTGAGGCTAATACGCTGGCTGGTGGAAGCAACCAGGATCCTGTGGCTTATGTCTCATCTTCCTCTCCTGGAAGTCCATGCCCTGCCACCATTCAGTCCCTCTTCACTGCCTGTCTCACCTGGAGTCAGCCACTTCCCTCCAAAACCAGTTTTTCCGTCTTAACTCCCGTTCTTGATAACCATCATCACCTAACAGAGATGTCTGTGATTCGTGCTATGGTAATCTTTTTTCAAAAACATTGCTGCAGTTCACATGCCTGGCAATCCCCCTTCATCTTAAAGAGTGTGAGTCCACAGTTTTCATGATATGCAGAGAACGGCACAATTGTCAGCATGGTTGACCTCTAAACCTCAGGAAAGGGGGATGGAGATCTTCTGCAGATGGGAGGGCACCAGGAGATGGAGGGCGGGTAGAGAAGAGGCAAGCGAGAGAGCACTAAGCCATGCCACGTGCGCCTACCAACTCATTCCCGTGCGGAATGTAATCGTGAACTACAAGCACGTACTAGCAAACCTTAAAAAAAAATCCATCACCCCCACAAGAGACCCCATCTCCATGAGCAAAGGCCTCCCCATCTGGCCCTGCCTCACTCACAGGCCAGCACTGACCTGTTCTGTGCCTCTTTGGAACATTTCATACGGATAGCATCGTCCAGTGCGCCATCATCTTTCATGACCAGATGTCAACAGGAGGGGGACTGGGTCTCTCTGTTTTCATCTCCACCTACTCTTGGCTCCAGAGTAGGTGACCTGTCTCCTCGTTCCCTTGTTCCCTCACTACCCCTTCACTCACCCATTCAGCAAACACTTGGTGAACCCATGTGGCAGCAGAGGAGGGCATTCCTGGGAGATGACAGAAGCAGAGTCTGCTGGAAAGGGCAGGGGACCCTTGCTAATGTGGGTGAGGACAGGGGACGAGAAGCGCTTGGGTACTCAGGAGGCCTTGGGGCGCCACACCTCACCTGGTGAGGGCAGTCAGAGAAGACTTCCTGAGGATGCAGAACCTGAGCAGCATCCTAAGACAGGAGTGGGAAAAGGAAACTGTGCTAGCTGATCACGCCTCGATCCCTTGCCACGCCGGCTGTGAATTCCCTGGAAGTGAATCTCCCGGGGCCTCTCACCTCTCGCCGCTGGGTGCCATGCAGGTGCCTTCCAGAGGTGGTGCCAGCTCTGTCCTGCGCTAAGGGGCATGCTGGCGATCAGGGTGTGAAACAATAGTCTGATACCTTAGGGACCAGACTGTGCACTGCGGCCCTCGGTCGGGGGCAGTGATGGTGAGCATGCTGATCGTAAAACAGACAACGTGACGCAAGTCGTGATGAGATCTTTGTCTGATCTCTGGCCTTAAAGGAAGTGTTTCAATACTTTACCATTAGATGTAGGATCTGCTAGCGAGCAGTAGAAGCTTTTTATCACACTGAGCAAGTTCTCTATAGTCAGGGATCCCTAAGAGTTCCTGGAATACGACGTTGAAGCTTATTCTTCATAGTTTTTACTTCTAATTTGTTAAGTAGCGACCTGATGCATTTTAAGTGCTAAACCAATCTTATACTTCTGGGAAGAAGCCTGACTGGTCAGAACATGTCTTTTCTATAGTAACAGACTTTGTGTTGCTTATTATTTTACTTAATATTCAGGGATGAAATTGATCTGTACTTTTTTGTACTGGATCTTGTGGTATTTTAACCTCCTACAATGAGCTGTGCAGTCTCAGCAGCCTTTTTATTCCCTGGAAATATTTGGGTCAGGATTAAAGTTTGTCTTCCCAATTGTTGTGATAATGATGCGAACTCTTTTATGTACGGTTGGGTTTTTCTCTACCTCTGTTCGCTGTTCGCGCTTGCTCTGTTGTGCGGTGGGACCTCATCGTGCAGTTCAGCTCTGCCTTGAGCTCACTGCGCCGCCCGGGCTAGCCTCAGCCTCCGGAGCGCTGGGATCACGGGCGCGCGCTGGGATCACGGGCGCGCGCTGGGATCACGGGCGCGCGCTGGGATCACAGGCGCGCGCTGGGATCACGGGCCACGCTGCGCCTGGCTGGCTCTTAGTGCCGAGTTTAGTGAATTTTGCATTTTTAGTGAGTATTACACAGATGGGTTTACTTCTAGCTTATTTTTTTAGTCTATTTCATTTAAATATTTGCTAAGATAGCATGGACATTTTTCTAGGCGCAGTACTCTTTTTGGAATAGTCTTAAAATTCTGGCCTAATTTTTCATAGAAATAGGACCATTCACCCTTCCTCTTTCTTCCATTTTTAAATATGGAACGCCTCATGCTCGTCCATGTCACCCTTGCGCAGTGGCCATCCTGACTGTCTCGGTATCATTCCTATTTCAGCGTATGTGCTGCCGAAGCAAGTACCCCTTCCCCTTTCTTCTTGAGTCCATCTGGAGTAGCCACGTTTGGTGGTGAAGGCCTGTGATCTTTGTACTCAGGAGGCTGAGGCAGGAGGATCATTTTGAGTTTGAGACCAGTCTGGGCTACACAGTGAGTTCAAGGCCCTTGAACAGTATAGCTACATAGCAAAACCCTGTCTCAAAAAGATTTTTTAAAAAGAAAGATAAATATTTTAAAGTTTTCCTTTTAAAAGTTTTAACATTTTATTTTAGTTTTAGCTACTTCTTAGTTTTTAACAGATGGAGATGTACCTCACAGGTAAACCGCACACCCCGTAAGCATCCGGCTTGCCAGGTCTGGGTGTGTGCATGTTCCCACCGCCTGCACCAGCCTCTCCTGCCCTCTCTGGTCTGGTGGGGCTCCCACTGTGGAAAGGTGAGTTTTCCGAGGCGGCCGAGGCAGCGTTGGTCCCGGTCCCTGGTGCACTGGAGTTGCTGTTCCCTTCCCGCCTCGGGCGCGGCACGCATCCTGGGTCCCCACACGCTGGGGCTGGGCTCTGCGTGTTTTTCATCCCTCAGGAACCGCACCCTTCTTCCCTGGGGGCCACCACCTCTAAGTCATTGTTTCATCTTTTCTTAATGGGTTTTGGCTGGTTTTAGTCTCTTCAAGATACTGACCACTGGGCATGGTGGTGCACGGCTGCCATCCCAGCCCTCTGGAGGCTGAGGCAGGAGGATCTTTGGGAGTTCTAGGCCAGCCTGCATTGTGTAGAGAGATCCTTGCTCAAAACAAAAAAGAAAGAAAGAAAAAGAAATTGACCTTCCTTTGTTGACCTTTTCTTTTACATGTACCTTTGCTATTTCATTAATTTTTGTTCTATTTTTTTATTTCTTCTTTATTTTTTCTTCCAGTTTGGATTTCTAATGTCAAGTCCTGTTTTCCTGTGGGAGCAGGAAAAGACAGTAACTTTGGGGGCTGGGAAGATAGCTCAGCAGTCTATGCACCTGCTTGGCAAGCACAAGGACTTGGGTTCGATCCCTGGTAGCACATGCTGTGCCAGTCACCAAAATCAGGCATGGTGGTGCATGCCTGTAATCCCAGTGCAGGGGAGGCTGAGACAGGAGGATCACTACAAGTCCAAGCTGCATAGCAAGACCCTATACCAAATAAATAAATAAATAAAAGATTAAAAAGAAAAGAGCAACTGTGCCTCAGCACGACTTGGCTGTATGCTCAAGGTTGTTACCGCTGTTCAAGTCTAATGAATTTCTAAATTTTATCCTGACCCATGAATTTCTAGAAGTATGTGTAAATTTCCAAATGGGTTTTCCTCATGTGCTTTTTAGTGTTGATTTAAATAATAATTTATTTATCACATTGTACCCAAAGAAAGTCATACTTGAGGCTTTCACAACTTTTTGACCAATTTTTCCAAGCTTTTATCTGGTTATCTAAACAACTAATTTGAAGATAATACTATGTGATATAACAAATCATTGTTATATTGCTATTATTTTGTTTAATAAGATTCTGTATCATTTCTAATGGGATTTTTACTATTTTTTAAAGGTAAGTATTTAGAAAAAAATTTATCCAGAGATGAGAAATCAGAATGAGCGTTTTTTCCTAGTATATAAATTCATAACTTTTTTAGGAGGCAGGGAAACAACCTACGATCAACCAGAATGCAGCTTCGTGTGAACCGTTCTTTCTATAGACCTCAAATGTGTGCTTAGTGCCTTCTCCTCCTGGACTTCAGAAAGCACAGCTGGGTGGCCAAGGAGGAGCCTGTATTTCTTCAAATCCGTTTCTGGAAAAAATGAGTCACGTTCAAATTCCTGCATGACCCTTGCCACAGTTCGGCGTGGCCTGGCCACCCACGACTCCCCGTGCACAGCGCTGCGCCCACGACCCTCGCCAGGTCCCCCTTGCTACTGGCTGCTCGGGAAGCTTCGAGGTATTGTCCAGAGTTCGGGCAAGCCAATGAGCTCCTTGCGGGGGCAGTTCCTTGAGCTCTCCACTTACACTATACTAATTCTGTCTTTCAAAGGTTGGTTCTTCTCCAGAATGGAGAACTGGGTCTTCCTGCCCAGCCTTGCCAGACTCTGTTTACCTTCCACAGAGGTGGCTGGGCTGTGGTTGTCCTCTGGAGACAGTTGAAGTCATTCCTGAGCAGGGGCCAGGGCAAGTCCCGATCCTGCTGATGCCCATGTTCTGGACTCGGTGCGGACACAGTTCAGCGGGCGGACCATGGTCTTGAGTTTTTGTTAATGGACAGTAAATGACACACACTGAAGTGTATAACTTGATATGCTGTGGTGTATGTTGCTGTTCAGGGTTCCACTGTGACAATCAAGGTAACAGAGTCCTTCATCACCTTCAAAGATTTCTTCTTCTTTCTTTCTCCTCCCAAGTGCTGGGATTACAGATGTGCACCACCACACCTGGCTCAAGAGATTTCTCACATCTCTTTGCAATGTCTTTTGAAAACTTCATCCATCTAATGGGTTGGTTTCATGTAGATGGCTGTTAAGAAAAATGCTATCTGTAAGTATCCAAAAACCAAACTTGAAGTGGGTCAGATAATAGGAAGTGCTGGTTTCTCACTTGCCAAAGCACTTGCAAGATCACTGAATTCAACCCTCAGCAGCACTCTCCAGCCCAGGATGTTAGACCACGCTTCCACGCTGAGGTTAGGTACCCTTCCAGTTACAAGATGACTGCCCCAGCCCCGGTTCACAGGCAAGCGTCAAGTAAGGGATGGCTGTGATTGTTAACTTCACTGCATCAAGAGATGCCTATGGGATCTGGGTATGTCTGAGGGGGTGTTTCCACAGATGACTGGCAGGTGAGCCAGCAAATGGAGGGGGCCAACTTTCTTGTTTGTGAGTGGCACCATCCTAGGGGCTTAGATTAGGTGGAATGAAAGGGAAGAAGTTGGCCTGTGTTTCCAGTTGAGCTGGTGCCACCCGTGCTATGTCCTTGCCTGTGACATTAGACTGCAGTTTCTTTTGCCTCTTGGTGAGGACTCACAGCAGCAATTCTCCAGGGAGCTTCCAGGCCTGCAGTCTGGAGCTGACTCTGCATCCTCAATTCCTCTTGGTCTGCAGCTTCTTGAACTTGGCAACTATGGGATCCTCTGATCTTCATGTGCAGCTGGTCACTCTGTGGCAGACTGTCCCACCTCTGCTCCAGTAAGCCTATCTAATAAGACCCTTTTCTTCTGAAGAGCTGTACTGCAACACACCTGACTGGGGAAGGCGCTACCTTCGCCTTATGTGTTGAGAGTACAGAAAGCTGTCCCATACGTCCTCCCTGACTCCCCCAATTTAATCAGCCAGAAGGGTGTCAGAAGCCCTCCTCACGGGGCATCAGTGCACAGAAATAACACCCCCTACAGAGCTAGGACCAGCCGCGAAGCCCAGCACTATGTAGAGTAGGAAATTCTGTTCATAGGGAAAGAAAGAACGATGTTTACTCCAAAAGGAGCCTGCTCTTTGAAGCCTTCAAAGGAGAATCATTTCAAAAACAGGTATGAAAAGCTCCGAGCCTGAGAGCACAGAGCTCATTTACGTGTTGCTGGAGACCAAGGGAGAGCCCACGTGGATGGCAGCCACGCACGCAAAGCTTGCCTTCTTGAGATTTTAAACAGTGGGCTCGGGGTCACGGAATGCAGAGCTGCCTCCCCCAGGGAGGCTGCCGCGTGGGGATGAGCAGTCTGACTAGGGGTGAGGCCGTGTGGCATCTTAAGGGAGACCATCAACCCAGTCGTCTCGCAATTATGATGACATCTCCTAATGGAAGGGAACCGAAAGTGGTCATTTATTTCAGTTTTACTGAAATGCCAGTCTCCTCCCGAGTTAATTCTTCACTGGGCTCTTAGATAATAAAAAATTACCCTCCATCTTATCATCGAGCTTCAGCTTTTCATCCAATTAAAGGACAGAAACCTTTGCTTCCCTTGCTACGCTTCCCACAAAGGGCTGTGAATACGAGACAGGGCTTAATATTGCGACTGCAAGCTAATTAATTCTCTCAGAGAGCTCTAGACTTATCTCTCTCCCTCTTCAGTAACCACTGGAGGGAATATTCACGGGTTAGACATTTCCATAAGGGAAATATACGTCCTTACACTTGCGTCTATCAATCTCCTGCCACCAGGGGAAGTGGTTTCCATGGTAAGTTGGAAGGATCAGAACGATGGCTTATTATCTTGGCTTTGTTCCCAAGATTCAGATTCCCAAAGCCTATATATAGCAGTGGACAGGTGATGATAGCTGACACGGGAGTAACAGAGATGGGTACTGGGGTGCCCAAAGGAAAAGCCTGCTGTGCTTGCTGTGCGCTGTGGTCCAGGGCTAAGCCCCACACAGCATCAGTCTTAGGACTGGGGGGTCAGACACAAGCCTTCCTACGTGCTCCATATACTGCACCACTTCCTAGTTGGCATCAATCACAGTCTCCTGAACAATCCCACTGGGTTGGTACTCTATTGGCTAATCTTATAGGTGAAGAGAATAGGGTAGGGAAAAGCTGAAGTAACATGGCTGAAGCCGACTGCTAGAAAGCTGTGTTGCCCGTTCTGAGCATAAAGTTCCCACCTTTAACCACGGCTTTAAGAAAACAAATGTGAAGAGGCCATGGAGATGGTACAGTAGAATAGGTGCTTCCCTGACAAGCGCAAGGGTCTGAGTTCAATCCCCAGTTCCATAAAAAAAAAAAAAAGAAAGAAAGAAAGAAAGAAAGAAAGAAAAATAAAAATAAAGAAAACAAATGTGGGTAAGTCTACTAAATGTATAGAATTGTATCCATTCCGTTGTGTATATAATGTAGTCTCTCACTGTAGTTCTTAATTTGGGTCTTCCTTTTTAAGCCCTTGAAAAAATCTTAGATGTGCACAGCCAATCACCAATGTCCTCACCTTTCACACTGTGCCATGTGGCTGTCAAGCCAGTAGCCTCAGCACCACCTGGAAACTTAACAGAAATGCACATGTCCAGCGTCCTCCCAAAACTAGTGGCAGA